GCAAAATAATAACACCCAATCAAGTTCTATTAATAGTGGCACACTGACAGGGACAATTCCCGAGTGGACCTAGATTGTTCCTGCTCATTGACTGGGTGGGTTAAGATGTTAAAATGGCATATTTTCAAATAACCTATCCACATTTTCCCATATACTTTAAATCTTCTCTAGATTACTTTTAATACCTAATATAAATCCTATTTAAATAGTGCTATACTGTATTGTTTCATATTTTTATTATTTTTATTATAGTATTATTACTTTTTATTTTTTTAAATATGGTCGATCCAAAGTTGGTTGAGTCTGCATGGGAAAACCTCACATACAAGCGAATGACTGTGTATCTCCTCTAATCCCAGTGACAATCAGGATTGCCATCAATCAGAAGTCACCATGTAGGGCCATGTGATATGCACATTGTGAAGCGGTACTATTCACATGCTGGCAACATGTCGATATTTTATTTCAGGCTTTCTTTGAATCTCATCTGTAATACTGCAATAATCTCCTAAGTAATGTCCCTGACTTCAGCTTCTTCCTCTTCAACACATCTTCCAGGCTACTTTCACAGTACTTTCTAAAACTCCAGTGTGACTGTAAAACTTTTGTACTTTAAATCCCTGTGTAGGTAATACATGCTTCTTATAATTGTATCTAAATTAACTTCTGTGACCTCATTGAACACTACCCTTTAAGTTCCTCCCTGATTCTCTCCATATTTCAACAACACATATTCTGGGTGCTCCATGAACATATCTTGTCTTTTTGATATTATATTCTCTTTGCTTCAATACTCAACTTAAAAACTCATCCATACTTTTAGATCCACCTCAGAAGTTAACCAGTGACACTTTTGAAACCCATCTTCCATGGAAAAAAATAAGTGTATTCTCCATTGTGCTCTTATAGCACCACAAAAATAGTTGCACGAAAGCAAACAATATCTTCTTTATGACTTTTTAATTTATATTTCTTCAGATTTATGATGATCCCCCTGAGGACAGCATCCATTTTCTATTTATCTTGAACCAAAACACTAGAACTTATCATAGTAATTGGATTTAAATACTATTTATTAAGTTGTAATGTATAAATAATATGATTAATTTGTCAGATCAGTGTCAGTTATATGATATAAAAATCAAATCAAGGAAAAAATAACAAAGGCAGATAACTGGAACTAAATATGTTATTAAAGGAACATTTTCAACACTCTAGAAATATCCTGCTTCTTGCAGAAAATCATACTTTAATCATTTTATCTCCCGTCTACATGAGATTGAACAACGAGGCCATTTTTTTGCCATTAAAAATATATTCATCATTACAAACAGCCCACTAAATAACATAAAGAGTAAAAAATAAAACAAAAGTTGGGGGAAGGAACCCAATCTTCAGTAACACTGAGGATTAACCATATTTTCTAACTATGAATTCTGAAGAATATCAACCAAATAGTGAGACACCAGTAAACTGTAAAAGAAGTACAAGAGAAAATGCATACTTCTCTTGTTTGAGGAAATAGGAAGAGTTCTCCAGGGGAAGATGATACAGGTCTGAAGGATGCATTCATTAAACCTTACTTGAAATGGGAAGATCTTCAAACATGGATGGACTAAGGGGATATCCTTGAACCAATGACATTCATGAAAGGCAAGATTAAACAAGGGTCCCACGTAACACTCATTTCTTTTTTCAGAATCAAGTTGTTATGATAATACAGAGGACAATGTTATGTGACAATCAACATAGAAGCAGCGGATCTCAGTCACTTAAAAGAAATAGATTGTGGCCAGAAAACTACACAGAACCTGTGGAATATAAATGATGGCAGCATGAATTAGGGGCATATTGTTTAAGGAAAAGAACAAAAGAGAGTTGATGAAAAGTGTTCAACATTAACATACAAAAAAATTCAATCTGTCTGCCGAACCAGTGCACTCTCCACCACCATTTATTTTCTAACAAGTAATCTACCTTCAAAAACTAACCACTATTTAATAATCCTGGAACCTAAGCACAATATGCTCCAAGGGAAAAGGTAAAATGATTAACTTATCAATAAAAATCAAATAGTATACACCAGAATAATTATTATGACAGGAAATAAGCAAAAAATCTATGTTTCTCCATCACACACATACATATACACACATAGCTTTGGTGAAAGAAAAACAAAATTACAAGGCATTAACTATAAATAAGAAAACAGAAATTATAAGCAGGCAATATTCAGGAAATAAAAGATAAAATAAAATTATGACAGATAAAATCCATGTTGGAAACCACAAAAATGACAAAGATTTTTAAAAATATAGTCATAGACACAAAACTAATACACTCAGATAGGAATAATATAAAGAAAATAATAAATGAAAATAGGGAACAGATACTATATGTAAAAATGGTTTCTGAATAAGAAAACAGAAATAAGAGTAGACAAAGAAATGCTCAAAGATATAATGCAAGAATACTTTTCTTACATTAACATTTGAATCTGGGGAATTAAATATAATATCATGACCCAGAAAGGCAAAGAGAAATCATGATACATGATTTACAAAAAGAATAGATGTTCTAGATGTTATTTGATTAGCAATTAATTGTTTCCCTATTTCAAAGATAAAGAAATAATTACTTTAGCAGCAAGCCAAAAGAGGAAGCCTCCTACAAGTGAAAAACTTTGGCCACAGACTTCTCTACAGTGGTGTCCTGGCAAAGAGTAAGGCAACCTCAGGGAAGAAAAAAAATATGACTCATGAATTTTATTCCCCAACTAATAAGCATGAGACCTCAGAGATATTATTTGGATATCAATTTTAGCCTAGTAAGCACTGGGTGAAGAAATCACATACCCATACAACTAAGGCGTAAATAGTATGCAAACTATACTAATAAAGTAGGCAAATTTTGTAAACATTAACATAAATTATTAATAGATTATAATGAAGAGAGTATAATAATGAGTAACAAATGTGAAGTTTCAGCAGAAAAGAGAAAATATATATCTGTACATATTCTTTTACAAAGTAGATAATAAAGAAATATTAAAAATAAAGGTTTAATAATATTTAAAGACATAAATATAACTGACCAAAGACTTAAACATATTTCTTGTAATAAAATCAACATGTGAAGAGGGAAATTTTTCTCATTTCATACTAGGTTGTGATATGCATTGTCTAAAGTTTTGATTTGATTTAGGCATAGATTGATTTAGGTATAGATTTGATTTAGGTATAGAATCAAACTATTAAACATTTTTGTTCCAAATTGTACAGCATCAAAATTCATAAAGCAAAAATTGCAGGTACAAATGGAGGCAAAATAAACCACACAATAACTTCCCTTTGTCATCAAACAAAAATCAAATAGAAAATGAATCATTAAGGATATAGGAGATTTTACATATATTAATCATGTGGGAAATTTTATTCTTAAATTAAGAGGATATTAAAACTATAAAGTAAAAATAGTGAATATTTCATAAGCCTATGGAATATAAAGTATTTCTCTGAAGAAAAAAATAGTTGATATTACAAGAAAAAAACGGAATAAAATAAAAAATTAGCATTTAACTCAAGTAGTGCAAGAAAATTAAAATACAAAAGAAAAATGGAAAGGAAAAGCAAAGAAAAGCAATTAATAAATTTATGAAACAGAAAAAATAAAAAGTAAAAATCAAGAGCTGGTTCCTTTGAAAGAAAAAAGTAAATCACAGGCATATCTAAACAAAAAGTATGGCATAAGTACTCAATGTAAGAAATAAAATTGGGAACTAACTAACAATATATATCATTATAAAAGAAATCAGAAAAGTGTTTACACAAACATGTAAGGTCAAAAGAATTGAAACTAAACAAAAATGATTTTTAAGGAAAATATGTATTATTTGTATTTGACATTAGAAGAAAGAGAAAAGGTTAAGTAAATTAATTGCCTTGAAAAGATGGGAGAAAAATCTAAAAGCAGTTTTCCTTCACCACAAATGTGTGTGCACGCACACACACACCTATACACACAGTTATCAAACAAGGCATTATCACAGTGGATTTCATCAAATCTTCATGGAAGTGACAATACTTATGCTTGATAAATAATTCAGAACATAGGAAAGTTTTCCAATGTATTTGATGAAGCAAGCAAAAGAATTAGATGCAAATATGACAAGACATGAAAAAGAAAACCAGAGATGAATCTCACTTACAAATATAGATGAGTATTTTCAAAAGAATATATAAGGATATAGTGCCCAGCAACACTTTAACAGAGTAAAGATCATATAACAAAGTAAGATTTATCCAAGTAATCAAAGTTAATGAGAGAATATAGCAATGTAATTTTCCACAATAAGTCAAAAATTTTAAAATTATAATCTCCCCAAATACAGAAAAAGTATTCAATAATCTTCAACATAGTTCTTAGCATCTTACATTGAAAAATGTTTATTTTTTTAAGCTAGTAAATAGATCAAACCAAAAGATAGAAGCTTGTTGAAACACCAGAAGCAATAGTATTAAATTCAGGAACAAGATAAAGATACATATTAGTGCTATGAATTCTGAATGCACCACAGGACACAATTTAATAAAAGAAATGTACAAGATATAAAAATTAGAGAAAGAGATGCAACTCAGTTTTTGCTATTGTTATAATTATACAGATAGACCAGAAACCCATTAGTTAACTCGCTGAAGTGGTTAATTTCAGAAGTAACTAATTCAACAGCTTCCTCTTTTCCTTGAACAGTGAGTCCTAAAGCCATTGGGACAGCAGCAGATGGTAGACATCTATGCCCAGAGCAGGTGGGGTGAAAGGTAAGGTATCACAGCATCCAAGACAGAGTGTGGAGGGCATCCACATTTTGGGATGGGCCTGTGCAGTTTCAGAAACCAGACAGGTAAGGAGGGCAGTTGTGAGGTATGAGGCAGAGGGCGTGTCCCAGAGCTAAATGTCAGAATGGAGATAGACAGGATGGCAGTGAATATGGAAGATAGATTATAAACAAGAAAACTGCTCAAAAAACCAGAACCTAAAGTACAATTTTTTTTAATGTTATTTTAAATTTAATAGGAGAAAGCTTTCTCACTTCAGAGATGGGAGCTAGAAATACAGAAAAGGAGAAGATCAGAATAAGCCTGTGGTGCTACATTAGGATTAAAGAAATCAGTGTAAACTCACAGTTTTTAATATATATAAATTGATATATAAACAAATATAAATGTGAATTTGTATTTCCTGTATCTGTCCACTGAGAGGGCCTGGGAACAATGACATCCTAAGATCAATAAACAGAGCACCTAGATCTTGAGTTCTAAATACAAATTTTCATTAAAATAAACCAGGGCTCTTAGAGAAAATGGCCGATTCCAGGGATCAGACAAAGAAAATATGAAAAGAGCCTGAAAAATCTCACTGTGTCAGAAGCAAAGAAATGCTCAAACCAACCTGAGTGACTACCAGTGTCCAAACTAAATAATGTGATCAAAACATACAGTAGTAACTCATTAAAACACTTTTATTAAAATAGAAAATGTAGAGTTTATATCTTTTTTATTTTTAAACCCAAATAAAAAATGGGTAATGTATTTATTTAATGTTAATTTAATATTTCATGAGAAATGGAATAGTTACACACCTTAAAATGCATCTTCACACAACATATTAATTTTAAAAGAGTACATTTATAGCTGGGCAGCTCTCCATATATCACCTTAATCATTATTAAAGTGAATATCATCAAGAGTGGGACAAACTGAGCTCATATGGCCCCTGATAAGATGGAGTGAGAACATGAAATCACTCCTGTGATATTTCTGACAAAGATGTCTACCTCAAACCTGATCATGAGGAAATATCAAACAAATCAAATTGAAAGATATTCTACAAAATAACTGCTTTGTAGTCTCCCAGTATCAAGGTCACGAAAGTCAAAGAAAACTGAGAAACTATTCTAGGCTGAAAGAAATTGAAGAGATAAGACAGCAAAATCCTTAAGAGTCAAAGCAATCTCAAGATAAAAGGACAAACAAAGCTACAAATATCACACTGATTTCAAAATATAAAGCTATTAAAACAGTATGGGCCAGGTGCAGAGGCTGATGCCTTGAGAGGCCAAGGCAGGTGGATCATGAGGTCAGGAGACTGAGGCCATCCTGGCCAACATGGTAAAACCTTGTCTCTACTAAAAATACAAACATTAGCTGGGTGTGGTGGCACGTGCCTATAACCCCAGCTACTCAGGGGGCTGAGGCAGGAGAATCACTTGAACCAGGGAGTTGGAGGTTGCCGTGAGCCAAGATCGTGACACTGTACTCTAGCCTGGCGACAGATGTGAGAGTGAGACTCTGTCTCAAACAAAAACAAAACAAAACAAAAAACAGTATGGTACTGGCATAAAACAGAACATTGACCAGAACAACATGAAATTTTGAATTAAATTGTTTTACTAGAATGGACATTATCAGAACAATCGGCCAAATTTGAATGAGGTCAAACTGTACTGTACTGTAATGGTATAGTAATTTACCAATATTAATTTTTCTGATCTTGATGGTTGTATTGTAATTAGGTAACAATGTTTTTTTAAAATACACACTAAAATATGGAGATGATGGGATGTCAAATTGCTCTAGAAAAATAAGTTCCTTTAAACTGAACTTCCAACATCTGTAAGGTTTAATATTTCTCACATACTGACTTTTACAGTTAGAAAAATATATCATTCATCATAGAAGATAAAATACCCAGGAATAAATTTTATTTGGCGGCATACAAGAAAACCTACAAAAATTCAAAGTAAGACGATTTATTTACGCATTTATTTTTTGGTAGAAAATGTCTCACCATGTTGCCAAGGCTAGTTGCAAACTCTTGGCCTCCAGGGACCCTCCCATCTTGACTTCCCAAAGTGCAGAGATTACAGGTCTGAGCCATTGCGTCTGAGAAGTAGGAAGACTGAGTATTGTAAAGCTACTAGTTATTGAGTAGGAACAATCAATATTATAAATGTGTCAATTCTCCACAAATCAATCCTTTTTTTTTCTCCATTTATTTATTTTATTGCATTTTAGGTTTTGGGGTACATGTGAAGAACATGCAAAATTGTTGCATAGGTACACACGTGGCAGTGTGATTTGCTGCCTTCCTCCCCATCACCTACATCTGGCATTTCTCCCCTTGCTATCTCTCCCCACTCCCCACCGTCCCTCCCCATTTCCCCCCAACTGACCCCAGTGTGTAGTGCTCCCCTCCCCGTGTCATGTGTTCTCATTGCTCAGCACCTACCTATGAGTGAGAACATGCGGTGTTTGATCTTCTGCTCTTCTGTCAGTTTGCTGAGAATGATGGTTTCCAGGTTCATCCGTGTCCCTACAAAGGACATGAACTCATCGTTTTTGATGGCTGCACAATATTCCATGGTGTATATATGCCACATTTTCCCTATCCAGTCTATCATTGATGGGCATTTGGGTTGGTTCCAGGTCTTTGCTATTGTAAACAGTGCTGCAATGAACATTCATGTGCACGTGTCCTTATAGTAGAATGATTTATAATCCTTTGGATATATACCCAGTAATAGGATTGCTGGGTCAAATGGAATTTCTATTTCTAGGTCCTTGAGGAATTGCCACACTGTCTTCCACAATGGTTGAACTAATTTACACTCCCACCAACAGTGTAAAAGTGTTCCTATTTCTCCACATCCTCTCCAGCATCTGTTGTCTCCAGATTTTTTAATGATTGCCATGCTAACTGGCGTGAGATGGTATCTCAATGTTGTTTTGATTTGCATTTCTGTGATGACCAGTGATGATGAGCATTTTTTCATATGTTTGTTGGCCTCATGTATGTCTTCTTTTGTAAAGTGTCTGTTCATATCCTTTGCCCACTTTTGAATGGGCTTGTTAGTTTTTTTCTTGTAAATCTCTTTTAGTTCTTTGTAAATTCTGGATATCAGCCCTTTGTCAGATGGGTAAACTGCAAAAATTTTTTCCCATTCTGTTGGTTGCTGATTCACTCTAATGACTGTTTCTTTTGCTGTGCAGAAGCTGTGGAGTTTGATTAGGTCCCATTTGTCTATTTTGGCTTTTATTGTCAATGCTTTTGGTGTTTTGGTCATGAAGTCCTTGCCTACACCTATGTCCTGAATGGTTTTGCCTAGATTTTCTTCTAGGGTTTTTATGGTGTTAGGTCTTATGTTTAAGTCTTTAATCCATCTGGAGTTAATTTTAGTGTAAGGTGTCAGGAAGGGGTCCAGTTTCTGCTTTCTGCATATGTCTAGCCAGCTTTCCCAACACCATTTATTAAACAGGGAATCCTTTCCCCATTGCTTGTTTTTGTATGGTTTGTCAAAGATCAGATGGTTGTAGACGTGTTGCGCTGCGTCCGAGACCTCTATTCTGTTCCATTGGTCTATATCTCTGTTTTGGTACCAGTACCATGCTGTTTTGATTACTGTAGACTTGTAGTATAGCTTGAAGTCCGGTAGTGTGATGCCTCCCGCTTTGTTCTTTTTGCTTAGAATTGACTTGGCTATGCGGGCTCTCTTTTGGTTCCATATGAACTTTAAGGTGGTTTTTTCCAGTTCTGTGAAGGAGGTCATTGGTAGCTTGATGGGGATAGCATTGAATCTGTAAATTACTTTGGGCAGTATGGCCATTTTCACGATATTGAGTCTTCCTAACCATGAGCATGGGATGTTTCTCCATCTGTTTGTGTCCTCTCTTATTTCGTTGAGCAGTGGCTTGTAGTTCTCTTTGAAGAGGGCCTTTATGTTCCTTGTTAGTTTATTCCTAGGTATTTTATTCTCTTTGTGGCAATTGTGAATGGAAGTTTGTTCTTGACTTGGCTCTCTTTAAGTCTGTTATTGGCGTATAGGAATGCATGTGATTTTTGCACATTGATTTTGTATCCTGAGACTTTGCTGAAGTTGTTTATCAGTTTCAGGAGGTTTGGGGCTGAGATGATGGGGTCTACTAGATATACAATCATGTCATCTACAAATAGAGACAATTTGATTTCCTCCTTTCCTATTTGAATACCCTTTATTTCTTTTTCTTGCCTGATTGCTCTGGCTAGAACTTCTAGTACTATGTTGAATAGGAGTGGTGAGAGAGGGCAACCTTGTCTAGTGCCACATTTCAAGGTGAATGCTTCTAGTTTTTGCCCATTTAGTATGATATTGGCTGTTGGTTTGTTGTAAATAGTTTTTATTATTTTGAGATACATTCCATCAATACCTAGCTTATTGAGGGTTTTTACCATAAAGCGCTGTTGAATTTTGTCAAAAGCCTTCTCTGCATCAATTGAGATAGTCATGTGGTTTTTGTCTTTGGTTCTGTTTATATGGTGAATTACGTTTATAGACTTGCATATGTTGAACCAGCCTTGCATCCCCGGGATGAAGTCTATGTGATCATGGTGGACAAGCTTTTTGATGTGCTGTTGCAATTGGCTTGTCAGTATTTTATTGAAGATTTTTGCATCTAGGTTCATCATGGATATTGGCCTGAAGTTTTCTTTTCTTGTTGAGTCTCTGCTGGGTTTTGGAATCAGCATGATGTTGGTCTCATAAAATGATTTGGGAAGAATTCTCTCTTTTTGTATTGTGTGGAATAGTTTCATAAGGAATGGTACCAGCTCCTCTTTGTATGTCTGGTAGAATTCAGCTGTGAACCCGTCTGGACCAGGACTTTTTTTGGGTGGTAAGCTCTTAATTGCTGCCTCAACTTCAGACCTTGTTATGGGTCTGTTCAGGGTTTCGGCTTCTTCCTGGTTTAGGCTTGGCAGGAAGCAAGTGTCCAGGAATTTATCCATTTCTTCCAGGTTTACTAGTTTGTGTGCATAGAATTGTTTGTAATAACCTCTGATGATGGTTTGAATTTCTGTGGAATCTGTGGTGATATCCCCTTTATCATTTTTTATTGCATCTATTTGATTCTTTTCCCTTTTCTTTTTTATTAATCTGGCTAGTGGTCTGTCTATTTTGTTGATCTTTTCAAAAAACCAGCTCCTGGATTTATTGATTTTTTGAAGGGTTTTTTGTGTCTCTATCTCCTTCAGTTCTGCTCTGATCTTAGCTATTTCTTGTCTTCTGCTAGACTTTGAGGTTTTTTGATCTTGCTCCTCTAGCTCTTTCAGTTTTGATGATTGGGTGTCAATTTTTGATCTCTCCTTGCTTCTCATGTGGGCACTTATTGATATATAATTTCCTCTAGAGACTGCTTTAAATGTGTCCCAGAGATTCTGGTAAGTTGTGTCTTCATTCTCATTGGTTTTGAAGAACATCTTTATTTCTGTCTTCGTTTCATTGTTTATCCAGTCAACATTCAAGAGCAAATTGTTCAGTTTCCATGAAGCTGTGCAGTCCTGGGTTAGTTTTTGAATTCTGAGTCCTAACTTGATTGCACTGTGGTCTGAGAGACTGTTTGTTATGATTTCCATTCTTTTGCATTTGCTGAGGAGTGATTTATTCCCAATTATGTGGTCAATTTTAGAGTAGGTGTGATGTGGTGCTGAGAAGAATGCATATTCTGTGGATTTGGGGTGGAGAGTTCTGTAAATGTCTATTAGGTTTGCTTGGTCCAGGTCTGAGTTCAAGTCCTGGATATCTTTGTTAATTTTCTGTCTGGTTGATCTGTCTAATATTGACAATGGGGTGTTAAAGTCTCCCACTATAATTGTGTGGGAGACTAAGTCTCTTTGTAAGTCATTAAGAACTTGCCTTATGTATCTGGGTGCTCCTGTATATTTAGGATCATTAGCTCTTCTTGTTGCATTGATACTTTTACCATTATGTAATGTCCTTCTTTGTCTCTTTTGATCTTTGTTGCTTTAAAACCTAATTCATCAGAGATGAGAATCGCAACTCCTGCTTTTTTTTGCTCTCCATTTGCTTGGTAAATCTTCCTCCATCCCTTTATTTTGGGCTTTTGTGTATCCTTGCATGTGAGATGGGTTTCCTGGATATAGCACACCGATGGGTTTTGGCTTTTTATCCAATTTGCCAGTCTGTGTCTTTTGATTGGGGCATTTAGTCCATTTACATTTAGGGTTAATATTGTTACATGTGAATTTGATACTGCCATTTTGGTGTTAGCTGACTGTTTTGCCCATTAGTTGATGCAGATTCTTCACTGTGGTGATTCTCTTTACCATTTGGCATGTTTTTGGAGTGGCTGGTACTGGTTGTTCCTTTATATATGTAGAGCCTCTTTCAGGAGCTCTTGTAAAGCTGGCCTGGTGGTGATGAAATTTCTGAGTACTTGCATGTTCACAAAGGATTTTATTTTTCCTTCACTTATGAAGCTTAGTTTGGCTGGATAGGAGATTCTGGATTGAAAGCTCTTTTCTTTAAGGATGTTGAATATTGGCCCCCACTCTCTTCTGGCTTGTAGGGTTTCTGCTGAGAGATCTGCTGTGAGTCTGATGGGCTTCCCTTTGTGGGTAACCCGACCTTTCTCTCTGGCTGCCCTTCGTATTTTCTCCTTAATTTCAACCCTGGTGAATCTGACGATTTTGTGCCTTGCGGTTTCTCTTCTTGACGAATATCTTTGTGATGTTCTCTGTATTTCCTGGACTTGAATATTTGCCTGCCTTGCTAGGTTGGGGAAGTTTTCCTGGATAATATCCTGAAAAGTATTTTCCAGCTTGGATTCATTCTCTTCATTGCGTTCAGGTACACCTATCACACGTAGATTAGGTCTTTTCACATAGTCCCACATTTCTTGGAGATTTTGTTCATTCCTTTTTATCCTTTTTTCTCTATCCTTGCCTTCCTGTTTTATTTCTTGAGTTGATCTTCAACCTCTGATTCCTTTCTTCTGCTTGGTCAATTCGGCTGTTGATACTTGTGCATGCTTCGTGAAGTTCTCGTGTTGTGTTTTTCAGCTCCATCAATTCATTTATATTCCGTTCTATTTTGTCCATTCTTGTTAGCATTTCAAGGTTCTTAGTTTCTTTGCATTGGGTTAGAACATGTTCTTTTAGTTCACAGAAGTTTCTTACTGCCCACCTTCTGAAGTCTGATTCTGTCATTTCATTACACTCGTTCTCCATCCAAACTTGATCCCTTGCTGGTGAGGAGTTGTGATCCCTTTTAGAAGGAGAGGTGTTCTGGTTTCGGGTGTTTTCATCCTTTTTGCACTGGTTTCTTCCCATCTTTAAGGATTTATCCACCTGTCGACTTTGTAGTTGATGGCTTTCAGATTGGGTCTCAAATCTTTCAGATTGACCTTCTGTTTGTTGATGATGAGGTTATTTCTGTTTCTTGATTTTCCTTCTGATAGTCTGGCCCCTCTGCTGTAGGTCTGCTGAGGTCCACTCCAGGCCCTGCTTACCTGGGGATCACCTGCAGCAGCTGCTGAACAGTAAGGGTTGTTGCCAGTTTTCTTCTTCTGCTATCTTTGTCCCAGAAGGATACCCACCAAGTGCCAGTCTGATCTCTCCTATATGAGGTGGCTGTTTGGATATACAGGGGCCAGGGAGCTGCTTGAGGAGACAGTCTCTTCTTTATAGGAGCTCAAATGCTGAGCTTTGAGCTCCGTTTTTCATTCGGAGCTGCTAGGCAGATACGTTTAGGTCTGTTGCAGCAGAACGCATAAACTGCTTTTTGTTCCCAGGTGCTCTGTCCCAGGGATATAGGGCTTTATGAGTTTCTGTTATGCCGCTGCCTTCTTTTTTTTTTTTCCTTCAGAGCTGCTCTGCCCAGCAAGGAGGTAGCCTAGGCACTGTGTGCCTGTAGAGGCTTGCTGAGCTGCTGTGGGCTCCGCCCAGCTGCCGAGTGAGCTTCCCTGCAGTCCTGTTTATATGGGTGTAGTTACAACTGCCTTGGCAATGGTGGCCCACCTCTGTTAAGGTGGAGCCTCTCTGCAGTGGCGGGTTGCATTGACAACTGCAGGCTGCCTCAGCAATGGCGGGTTGCCTTGGCAATGGCGGGCTTCCTCAGCATTGGTTGACTACCTCCGTAGTGGCCGGCTGCCTCGGTAATGGCAGACACCCCTCCCCCACAGAGCTGGACCGTCCCGGGTTCAGCTGCGCTTGCTGTGAAATTCTCATCCAGAGAGTTTCTGATTGCTGTTCTTTTGTGGGGGTGGGACCAGCCGAGCCTGAACGCCTGGCTCCCTGCCTCAGAGCCTTTTTTTTTTTTTTTAAGTTGGTGTTCCAGTCGCCTGTTGAAGAGGCACCAGGGTCTGTGTCTGTGTTTTTCCTGGCGACTCACTCTGCTGGCTTAAACAGCGGCACTGAGATTTGTGGCGCTTTTTTTGCCCTGGAATCTACTGTCCCGGTTCCCTGCTCAGTCCCCTTTTTAAACAGACGAATGGGTGACTTCCCGTGGCTCCAATCGCCAGCCAAAAGGGCACCCGGACCAGTGTATTTTGTACGGAGAACCGCTGCTCCGAGGCGCCGACAAAAAAGCCACGTGGGGCAAAGCAGCGGCGCCGGCCAGCACAGCCGCACTGGCCAAAACAGCCGCACTGGCAACCGGTGGAGCCCCTCCGCCTGGGAATTGCCTAGTCTGTGGGCAATAAAAATGCGGTGTCCACTCACCCTCTGCACTTTTACTGGGAGCTGCAATCCTGAGCTGTTCCTAAATGGCCATCTTGGATAGTCTCCTCCATATTTTTTTTTATCAATTTTGAGTGTTTCATTCTGGTATTACAATTTTAACTATGTATTAGAAAAGATATGTCAAATTAAGATAACTGGCATAATTTTGTTAGAGATCTCAAAAAATTTTCCAAAACACCACTATTGATCTGAGGATACGCAAGTATAAAATACGTTATACCCAAGTCATTTTATTGGATGAATATTACTAGGCATTTTATTGGATGAATGTTAACTAAGCATATTTCCAACACTTTCATAACTCCTTAGCTATACATGTAATGATTAAATGGCAAAGTCCAGAGAGGCACAAGCTAAAGTCCAAACAGTTATATAGAAAATTGCTCCTGAGTTCTGGCAAATAGGCTCTCAGGAGACATACCCCAGACGATATTTTAGAATCCTAAAACTGTGGAAATCTATTAATAGGAAACAATCTCACAACATAATCAATACTTAAGGAGGCAGGTAAATTTAGATCATTCTGGGATCTGCAGGAGAAAAAAATTGACAAAATGGAGGCTTTTAGTTTGCTGAAGTTGTACATATTTTGGTTTTAGTTTGTGAAGTAGGGTAGACAAATTGAGATAATTTTTAGAAATAGTGTAAAAGACAGGTCAGCCTAGAGAGTAAGAGAGGTGTAGGAGAAGAGAGTGAGAGAAAAAGTGGACAGTAATCATAGGCAGGCTTTTAGGGGAAGAAATAGAAATTATTTGGAAAGGATTTTCAGCGATTTTTGCAATATAAAAAAAATCACTCCAACACTCTAAAAATATAAACTTTTTCCAGTAAAAATTACATGTTAGTTAAATTTAAGTTTTGGGGAGAGTACAAGAACATTTTAAGAGTGGCTTCAAAAAGTCCTAGCAAAAGCAAGAGGGTCTTAGTCACTTTGAGGTTAATGGAGAAGCTATTCACACAGAGAAGACATTCTGAAAGAGTAATTTCAGAGTATATTCACATCCAAGGAAAACTACATTTTTTTAATATTCTTGCTTTTTATAAAGCCATGAAATTTTACGTAGAATTAGCTATATAAAATATATTTGATAAAAGCATGAGATATTGTATTAGAAAGTCATTGTATTTTTAAAATGGAATTTAGAGGATGTACAGTACTTAGAATATGAGGTGAAAGACAGCACAGTATAGGACAGAGCTGTTAGGCTTTGAAGCCATATGCACTGAGCCAAACCTCTTTGGTGTGATCCATTGGTTAAGTCATTTAATTTAACTAAGCTCTCGTTTTTTTCATTTGTAAAATTATAAGGGTGAGAGTAACTTCACTGGGTTATTGAGAAGACTGTAAATAAGTGTCTACTTAATTATGATTATTATAAATGTTATATAATATTAAACATGCAAAACATTTAATACAGTGCTTGACATACAATATGTATTCCAAAAGAAGAATTCTAAAAAGAATTCCCGTTCCTTTCCTTTCTCTCTGCAATTGGCACATCAAGCTAACATACAAGAAAGCAGCCAGTGCAACAAGGGCTGGCATACACCAAAATGAAATGAGGACTCACTTCGAACACTGAAGTGGCTCAGCATATGACTCAGAAACTAGAAAATAGAACAAAAAAATAACTAGTACAGAGAAAGTACATTAGCCATTCTTGACTAAAGTTTTCAGCAACAATTGATGTGATGGAATTAATTGAGTACAGCAGACTCCACAGTATTTTACATGTATGTTGTTATCCTATGAAGTAGTCAGAAGACACAAGGAGATAGAAAACTTTACCAAAAAGTACTAACAGGATACACATTTCCTCAGATGGACTGCTGATAAAAGTTTTTCTTACATTTAAGTTGCTTTTAAATTATTTTTATGTTTTGAATAGGCAATATATGAATATAATACAAATCTGAGTTTAAAAATATTTATATATAGTAAAATATATTTTTATCATCCATCTATATAAATTTATTCCTCAGATATAATCTACACATGTAGAACCTAAACCTGCATACTTCTCTTTTTACAAATTCCAGACTTTGATATATATATTGATAGTTAACATACCTTGAATAGTTTTTTCACAGAAGTATATATAGACCTGCCTCATCTTAGTTAAGTGCTATTACATGATACTTATTTGTAATGCTGTATCATGAGGTATCAATCCCATTATGATGGATATTCAGGTTTTTCCAAATTGTTAATAGTGTGACAGTTAATATTTTATCTGCGTATTTACTTCAATTTGTTTATCTATGGATATGTCCTTGGGTCATATTCCTAGCAGTGAGATTGCTGGGTCAAAGTAAATGTGCATTGGAAATTCTGATTAATATTATCATATTTCTCTCTATAAGGCATGCCAATTTCTCCCAAAGTTAGCTATGTGTGAGAGTGCCTCTTTATCTACATCTTCAACACTAGAGCAATAGTCACCTTATTAATCTTTGGTACCAACTTGTGACTTTTTTTGCTTTGTTTTGGAGACAGGATTCAGCTATTGCTCAGGCTGGAGTGCAGGGGCATGATCTTGACTCACTGATGCCTCGACCTCCTGGACTTAAGCAATGCTTCTACCCTAGCCTCCCAAGTAGCTGGGACTATAGAAACAGGGTTTTGTCATGTTGGCCAGGCTTGTCTCAAACTAGGCTCAAGTGATCCTCTGGCCTCACCCTCCCAAAGTGTTGGGATTACAGGCATGATCCACTGCGCCCAGCCAAATTGTGACTTTAATTTGAATTTTGTCTTGTTAGGAGTAAGAATCAGCATCTTAAATGTTTAAGAGCCATTTCTATTTTGTCTGTTTACTATCATGCGTATCTTTTGCCCCATTTTTTTCTGGAATTGTTAGTTTTTTTCTTACTGTCAGTAAAGAAATGAACCTTTTGTCTGCAGGTTGCTAACAGTTTTTCCAAGTTCTGCATTTGACCGCTGGATTTATGCTTTTTTATTTGTGGTTATTTAAATAATTATTTTGTAAGTAAATTTATCATTTTTTTCCTTTTATACCTTCTGACTTCTTCTATCACATACTTAGAAAAATCTCCTTGTTCTTATTACAAAATTACAGAAATTTTCATTACAAATTTTCCTAGTTCAGTACTTTCATCTTTATTTTCTGAGACACTGCTTAACAATCCATTTTTTGCATTTGCTAATGGCTTATGCAATTTCAAATTTTCAGATTTTTTCACAATAATTTTGAAGATAGCTATTATGATCCTACTTTACAAGCAAGGAAAATAAGGCTCTGAAAATTAAAACTATAGAGTTGAAATGCAGTAAAACTAGAATTTGAACCCAAGTTTGTTCTGGTCACACTGATTCCTTGACTTAAAGATGCACAATTATCTTTATTTTTATTTGCACATATTTAAGGAATACTAGTGTCATATTGTTACATGGACATTTTGCATAGTGTGAAGTCAGGCCTTTTAGCATATCCATTACCTGAATTATATATATTCCATCAACTGAATTACAAACATTGTACTCATTAAGTGATATCTCGTCATCCACTTCCCTCCCACCCTTCCAAATATCCACTGTCTATAAGTTTGCACTCTATATCCATGTATATACCTTATTTAGCTCCCATTTATAAGTGAAAATACACAGTATTTGTCTTTCTGAGTTGTTTCACTGAGATAATGGCCTCATGTTCCACTCATATTGCTGAAAATGACACTGCATGCCCTGTATTGTAGGATAGAAATTCTCTGAATGAAAATAACATTCAGAAGATGGTTATCTGGTCTTCCCAGTAAGGAATACACATGGAGGATCCAAGATATATTAATTCATTTGTCTGCATTTTAAAGACTCCAGGTTAAGCATTTGGGAAATAATTATCTAAAGTAAGGAGACATTTCTATATGTAAAGGAAGGTGGTGACCAGTGAGGTGGTACCCACCTGGATCTGATGGAGAGATCATCTAGTTTGTTTCAGAGCTGGAACTCTGGGATGAAGTGAAACATAAATTGAAGAAAGAAAGTGGACCCTTCCAGGGTTAGAATAGTTCAGGGGTGTTCTGATGATGGCTTCAGCTATGGCTAGGTAATAGGAAACATCAAGAGATAATGGTTGATGAACAGTGAAGAATGGAAGAAGAATGAGTTACAAGATTCCTTGGATGCTGCATTCTCTGTTGGAATAGCTACAGGCACACTAACCAAAACAGAGAGCCTAATGATGATGATGATAATGATGAAAGGAATTCAGCCAATATTAATTGGGTAGATTTTATAAGGCACTGATTTAGATACTCCACCCATATTTAGCCCTCATAACCCTATAAGGTAGGTACAATTTATTACTCCTAATTTATAGATAAGAAAATTGAGGTACAATGAGGTAATTAACTTGAAAAGATCACAAAGGTCAGAGAAGGTCTTACTTTTAGCCTGTAGCAGATGGACCAAAATAGGATATGGAAAGGGATTCTTGGGAGTTCATGAAAGTAGATTAAGAAAGGACAGAAATAGGGTATCTGCTCATCTCTTCTTTCTCAAAATAATTAGGCTATGTTTTATCCGTGAATCCCAACAATTGTTTTCCCTGCATATATCCTTTAGAAAGTACCTAACATTTTGGAATCTCATTTATAAGTAAGAGTGTCATTCTAATATAAAAAGTGCCACGAAGATGAAACCAGATGCAATATGATTTTTAAAAACTGAGGATATTTCCCCCAAAGATGTAATAATACCAAGTGCTTTCTTACAGCATACAAATAAACAATCTTTCTCAAGTGACTCTTAGTAGTCTAAACCAACTGAATCAAAATAATACGCTGTATAAGCCCTTTATAGGAGAAATGTATTCAGCAGGAAACAAAGTATATTAATAGCAGAGGTTGTTTAAAATATTCAGGTTGTTATCAACTGTAGATGATTGTAAATGAAAAACAACATCTCAAATGAAATCAACTGTTCAAGGGAATAATTAAACATTAAAACAACTATGTAGTTGGGGTAAATACTGAGATCAAAAACTCGTGTCAGAGTTGATGGCATTACCAATTCCCATGCTGGTTTTTAGATAAAATTACTTGAAATACATTCAATATATCACAAAACTGTTAAAATATCTTCTCTTCCTGACTTCTAAAATTCTTTCCCTCTATAGACACAAACAGATGGAGTCTCCTTATTGAAGTAGGCTTTTTCCCCAAACAAAATAAAGGGTACAAAATGTTTACATTACCAAAGATTTTAATCAGGGTAGTACACTAAGTCGTACATTTTACTAGATTCTGAAGTGTCCTAGTATTTTAATGCATGTTCAAAATTCACTCAGAAAGTCACAAACCCATTCATGCTCTACTTATAATCAAGCCCCTTGAGTATATTTGATCAAAATTAACCTTAAGTATGCAGTTCTCAATGACCTAAAAAAAGATTTAGACTCCCACACAATAATAGTGGGAGACTTTAACACCCCCACTATCAACATTAGACAGAACAACAAAACAGAAAATTAAAAAGAATATCCAAGAGTTGAACTCAGATCTGAACCAAATGGACCTAATAGACATCTACAGAACTCTCCACCCCAAATCCACAGAATATGCATTCTTCTCAGCACCACATCACACTTGTTCTAAAATTGACCACATAATTGCAAGTAAATCACTCCTCAGCAAATGCAAAAGAATGGAAATCATAACAGTCTCTCAGACCACAGTGCAATCAAGTTAGAACTTAGGATTAAGAAACTCACTCAAAACTACACAACTATATGGAACCTGAACAACCTGCTCTTGAATGACTACTGGATATATAATGAAATGAAGGCAGAAATAAAGATGTTCTTCGAAACCAATTAGAATGAGATGCAATGTACCAGAATCTCTGGGACACATTTAAATCAGTGTCTAGAGGGAAATTTATAGCACCAAATGCCTATATGAGAAGCAAAGAAAGATCTAATATCGACACTCTATCATCAAAATTAAAAGAGCTAGAGAAGCAAGATCAAACAAATTCAAAAGCTAGCAGAAGACAAGAAATAAGAACAGAGCAGAACTAAAGGAGATAGAGACACAAAAAAACCCTTCAAAAAAAAATCAATAAATCCAGGAGCTAGTTTTTTGAAAAGATCAACAAAACCAATAGACTGCTAGCCAGACTAATAAAAAGAAAGAGAGAAGAACCAAATAGATGCAATAAAACATGATAAAAGGGATATCACCACCAACACCACAGAAATACAAACTACCATCAGAGATTACTACAAACACCTCTATGCAAATACAGAAGAAATGGATAAATTCCTGGACACTTACACACTCCCAGGACTAAACCAAGAAGATGTTGAATCTCTGAATATACCAATAGCAAGGCTTAAAATTCAGGTAACAATTAATAGCCTAGCAACCAAAAAAAGTCCAGGACCAGATGGGTTCACAACCAAATTCTACCAGAGGTACCAAAGAGTTGGTACCATTCCTTCTGAAACTATTCCAAACAATACAAAAAGAGGAAACCCTCCCTAACTCATTTTATGAGACCAACATCATCCTGATACCAAAACCTGGCACCACTAACAAAGAAAATTTCAGGCCAATATTCATGGACATTGATGTGAAAATCTTCAATAAAATACTGGCAAACTAAATCCAACAGCTCATCAAAAAGCTTATCAATCACAATCAAGTCGGCTTCATCCCTGGGATGCAAGGCTGGTTCAACATATGTAAATCTATAACCGTAATCCATCACGTAAACAGAACCAATGACAAAAACCACATGATTATCTCTATAGATGCAGAGAAGTCCTTCAACAATACTTAACAGCCCTTTATGCTAAAAACTCTCAATAAACTAGGTATCAATGGAACATATCTCAAAATAGTAAGAGCCATTTATGACAAACCCACAGCCAATGTCATCCTGAATGGGCAAAATCTAGAAGCAAAATCTTGAAATTCGGCACAAGATAAGGATGCCCTCTCCCACCACTCCATTCAACATTGTATTGGAAGCTCTGGCCAGGGCAATCAGGTGAGAAAAAGAAATAAAGAGTATTCAATTAGAAAAAGAGGAAGTCAAATTGTCTCTATTTGCAGATGACATGATTGTATATTTAGAAGACCCCATCATCTCAGCCCAAAATCTCTTTAGTTGATAAGCAACTTCAGCAAAGTCTCAGGATATAAAATCAATGTACAAAAATCACAAGCATTCCTATACACCAATAACAGACAAACAGAGAACCAAATCATGAGTGAACTTCCATTCACAATTGCTACAAAGAGTAAAATACCTAGGAATACAACTAACGAGGGATGTGAAGGACCTCTTCAAGGAGAACTACAAACTACTGCTCAAGGAAATAAGAGAGGACACAAACAGATGGAAAAAATCCCATGCTCATGGTTAGGAAGAATCAGTATCATGAAAATAACCATACTGCCCTTAGTAATTTATAGATTGAATGCTATCAGCATCAAGCTACCATTGACTTTCTTCACAGAATTGGAAAAAAACACCTTAAACTTCATATGGAACTAAAAAGGAGCCCACATAGCCAAGACAATTTTAAGCCAAAAAAACAAAGCTGGAGGCATCATGCTACCTGACTTCGAACTATGCTAAAAGGCTACAGTAATCAAAACAGCAAGATACTGGTACCAAAACAGATATTATAAACCAATGGAACAGAACAGAGACCTCAGAAATAACACTACACATCTACAACCATCTGATCTTTGACAAATCTGACAAAAACAAGCAATGGGGAAAGGATTCCATATTTAATAAATGGTGTGAGAAAACTGGCTAGCCATATGCAGAAAACTGAAACTGGATCCCTCTGTACACCTTATACAAAAATTAACTTCAGATGAATTAAAGATTTAAACATAAGACCTAACACCATAAAAAACTTCATGACTAAAACACCAAAAGCAATGGCAACAAAAGCCAAAATAGACAAAGGGGATCTAATTAAACTTAAGAGCTTCTGAACAGCAAAAGAAACTATCATTAGATTGAACCAGCATTTAACAGAATGGGAAAACATTTTTGCAATCTACCCATCTGACAAAGGGCTAATATCTGAAATTTACAAAGAATTTAAACAAATTTACAAGAAAACAACAAACTACCTCATCAAAAAGTGGGTGAAGGATATGAACAGACAATTTTCAAAAGAAGACATTTATGCAGTCAACAAACACATGAAAAAAAAGCTCATCATCACTGGTCATTAGAGAAATGCAAATCAAAACCACATTGAGATACCATCTCATGCCAGTTACAATGGCAATCATTAAAATATCAGGAGACAACAGATGCTGGAGAGGATGTGGAGAAATAGGTTTTACACTGTTGGTAGGAGTATAAATTAGCTCAACCATTGAAGAAGACAGTGTGGCGATTCCTCAAGGATCTAGAAATAGAAATAGCAATTGACCCAGCAATCCTATTATTGGGTATATACTCAAAGGATTATAAAACATTCTATTATAAAGACACATGCACACGTATGTTTATTGTGGCACTGTTCACAATAGCAAAGACTTGGAACCAACCAAATGCCCATCAATGATAGATTGGATAAAAAAAAAAGTGGCACATATATGCCATGGAATACTATGCACCCATAAAAAAGAATGAGTTCATGTCCTTTGCAGGGACATGAATGAATCTGGAAACCATCATTCTCAGCAAACCGACACAAGAACAGAAAACCAAACACCGTATGTTCTCACTCATAAGTGGGAGTTGAACAATGAGAACACATGACACAGGGAGGGGAACATCACACACTGTGGCCTGTTAGTGGGTGGGGGACTAGAAGAGGGATAGCAGGGAGTGGAGGGATTAGGGAGGGATAGCATTAGGAGAAATACCTAATGTAGATGACAGGATGATGGATGCAGCAAACCACTATAGCACATGTATACTATGTAACAAACCTGCACATTCTATACATGTACCCCAGAACTTAAAGTATAATAATTTTTTTTAAAAAAGAATATGCTGTGAGAAAGCCAATTTATATCATTTATCTTCAAGTTTTCCTTCTCACAAGAATGATAACCAAATAATCAGTAGCATCTGTGGACTATAACCTAATTGCCAAGCCAAGTGATTTCCATGCATTATCTTCTAATTTAATCCCCACAAAAGTCTGTAAGACAGAAATTGATAGTATTCCCATTTTATAAATTTGGAAATAAAGCCTTGGTGAAGCTAAAATAATTTCTCAGATCTTCCAGCTGCACTGAAATGCAGCTTCAGCATTCAAACTTGGGCTGACTCCACAGCCTGTTGGTTCAGCATTAGTTCAAGCAAAGGAAAACGTGTTCAACAATTATTTTCTCAGACCTATTTTAAACGTCACTGTCACTTGTTAAAAGGAAGCCCTTATTTAAGCAAGGGCATGTTCCTACAAAGAAGTATGTTAGCTGGTTGTTTTTGTATGCTGTGAATAGACTGGCATGTGTTCTTTAGATTCACATCTATTTTGTCTCTCAACATTTCTGTAGATAAGTTACTTTGAATTCACAATATTTTGCTCTGCAAGTGGTCAAAAGTTATTTAAACTTAAAACACAATATCTGCTTTATACTAGGGAGGATGTCAACCATACCTTTTTGACTTAAAAGGATAAAAATTAATGTCGCTTTCTCTTTCATTTCTCGCTTTCTTGCATTTTCTTTAGCATGACATTCTTGAAGATGCACTTAACTATATTCACAACTACCTAAAGATGCATCTTAGAAGTGTCACATAGGTGTGCATGACATGTAATGTTTTTGTACAATCCTTTCAATTTCTTACACATCCTCACTTTGTAATTTGTGGGAGCACGTGGACAGAGAAATCAGATACAGACATGGCAGCATTTGGAGAGCCTGGAAATGCCATAAGGCATTTTCTCCTTCTGATGAAACTACCGTGTGCCTTCTGTTTTCCGAATATAATTTTCATCTTCTCCTGTGCAACAAACAGGATTGAGCTCACTACTTCATCCAACCAAGCTTCATTTTCTGAACATCAAGTAATAAATTAGCATAGGAGTCATGATTAAAGCCCTGATCACAAACCCTTTTTCTGCTTCTTGATTGGTATGCTTTTCCTCACTTATTTCATGAGTCAATATTATTTTCCTTTTCACCCAACCACTTGCAGTGCTTCCCAGTTTACATCATAAGTGGCTTTTATGAAGATACCATTCACAACATCAAATGAGCCATTTGTCATCTTGTTTTTGTTTTTCTAATGTAATCCCATTGTCATTTAGACTTGACATTTCAGAGACTTGAACTTCAATGCACTGGACTATACTTAAAGTTGCCTGGGGACAAGTGTTGAACTGTGCTTTTCCCCCATGATTCAAGGAAGAACATTATTCTTCTTTCTTTATTGCTCTAGTCTTCTACTCTACACTTCCACAAATCACTATAATTTGTACCACACAGTACACTATCTGCAGGAGGTGTCCTGTAACAACTTCAGAAATGGCTATAATGTTATAAATCATTGTGCTGTTTTGGCATAAAATGTTAACTTAGGTAAATATATATTGTAGTGTATTTTTTTCTCCAGGAAACTATTAGCTACATTTTTATGGTTCAGAAGAGAAACCTGTTACCAGTTACACTCTTCCAGATTTTTTGTTGTTGTTGTTGCTGCTGTTGTTTGAAACTCTATTTTATTATTTGTTAGACACAATATCTTTGAACAAGAAAACATGCCTACGTGTTGATTATGTGTTAGTAAACCATAGGTCACATACAGTGGTAACTAATGACCCTTTGAATATTTTTATCATTTTGTTACATGGTATCTGCAACAAACATAGGGCAGATTTATGGGTAATGGCAAATGGCTTAGTTGAAGCAAATCTCTGACTTTATTAGGTCAAATGAGAGAGGAACAGCTACCCAGAGAAATCTGGCTGAAACATAGCTTAGAAACATAACAACTCTGATGCTTTCTCTATTTTCTGTGATTTATCAAATTGGCCTTCAAAATTGTGTGCAGGATTCTTAAAAAAAAAAATTCTAGCTGTTTTTCAGAGCTTGAACTGCTGCTTTCTCTATCACCCACATTAGTCGGGGTTTGATCAGCGAAGCAAAACCACTAGGAGACACATGAAATGAGGGATTTGTTATAGGGATTTGAGCTTACACAGTAACACGATACAAATCCATCTCATCATCCCATTGCTGATATTTTAACTTATCCAATTTCCACTTTTTTTCTAAACAGACTCCCTAAACTTATTAAGAGAAACTACCAAATCACCATCTAAGACACATTCAGGAAAAAAGAACAATAACACCATTCAAAATAGTATCTGAATACCAGCTCCTGTATATTTCTTTTAAATTCTCAGTAAAATAGTCATAAAAATACTTTAAAAGACAAAATGTTTAGTATCAAAAATTAAGAGCAATA